ATATACTCGAGTACCGCATCATAAGTACAGTACTAGTAGGAGCACCGTACTCGTACATCGGTGAATCAAGCCACTCGTATATTACACCAGCATGGTGTGGCATAAGTTATCCCTCTTCGGCACCTCACCACCATAGCGCACGTACTCAATCATGAAGATGAGGCGGGCAATAGCTAAGCTGGAACGACAGTGCGCGGCCCAGACAAGAAATTCGGAATGTTCCAGAGGGGCCCTTTCTCACGAAGGGGGAAAAAAAAAAAAGGAAAAAACAAGACCGTGAAATGCAGCCTTACGAGTACAGTACGATACTGTACGAGCACTGGACTCGAGTAGTGCGCCCTGCGCTACAGAGTTCGTCCCATACAAACTGCATCCATCAGTCTGCCTGGGAAGGGAGGAAACAAAACGAACAGGGCAGAACAAAAACAAAACAAAGGCGGTTTCTCACATGCACAGTTCCATGCCATACTTGTAAAGATTAGATTAGCTGTACATCTATAAACCTAATCCGATAATAAGCTTGTCTGGGTGAGTCCTTCCTTCCTCCATCTTCCATCCTCAATCAATCATTTCTTTCCCACCTACAAGAAATCCCCCAAACAAGCACTGAACCACCAGCCGACTGATTACCCATCAACTAACCAACCGACCCGTTGCTCAGAATCCGAACCAAACTAAACCAGCCAGCCAAGCCAAAGTCCCCAAGTAATCAAAAAAATCCATTCACTCATAAACGTAAAAAGTCAAACACCGAGAGTATCCATCTATAGCAATTCCCATAGCGTAAAAAAAGGGGGAGTGGGGACGGGAGATAAAACGAGTAAGAAAGTGGAAAGAGGGAAAAAAAACAAAAAAACTTTTCAACCCGAGAATGAACGCGGGTATAAAGCCAGTCCCTAGAGATGCAGGAAAATATTACAAAAAGGATCAATACTTACAACGAAATAAATATACTCCAAGTAGAAATGCGGTTCGGGAAAAGACCAGGTACAGGAAAGGACAAATGAAGTGTGGAGGTAATGGAAAAAGGAGCAGCAAAAACCCCTATGCAAAGCGAAAGGAGGATGTCAAAAAAAAAAAATGGAAGGGAAAGGAAAGCAAGGCAAAGCAGAGGGTAGACCATGCCACGACAATCCAGGATAATCGGCGAATAAAGCCTTTCGATGGAGCAAAATTCTTGTAACAAGTAAAAAAAAATAGGAAAAACTCTAAGCTTCAGTTACAACCTTCTCCTTGGTTCTGCCTCGGCGGGCCTTCTTGTCCTTGAGGGTTGCATTGCTGCTTCTGCTTCGCCTTCTTGTGCGCGATACAGGTCCGATAGAGTCAAGGGGCCTTCTAGCGAGCTCACCAACAACAACGCTCTCACTTCGCACACTCTTCTTCCTGGGGAGAGGAACTTCCATTACGAAGCCCCCGTCACTATCATCGTCATCGTCGGGATCGTCGTCCATCTCATGTTCGTTATCAGAGTCGATCTGTCTGATACCCGAAAGCCTGCTCTGATGGAAAGGTGTAGGCGGGCGATAACTCGTGTCGAACTCTTCTTCGTGCACAATCCCAGCAATGGAATTCTTCCGAGAGTAACGGCTGTTGAAGTATTCACTGCCAATGGAGCTGTTCTCCGACATTATGCTTGGCGCAGACGGGAAGCTTGTAGAATTGGTAAGACTCGAGCCGGCGGTCGTAGCGAACTGTTCTTCGCTAGATGAAGAAACTAGGTGGTTTGGTTGGCTAGAATCCATGGGCATCTGAACATGGTCATCAAAGAAACCACGGTTCTTTCGTTCCATCATAATCGGAGGCGTGGGCGAATCATGCGAAGGGTAATAGTAACTCTCTTTTGTCCATCCAGGGGTGACATCTGCATTGGATGCTTTAGGGGAGGTATACTTGTTACGCTCTTCATGTCGCAACAGCGCCTTCCGCTGATCCCTTTCCCAAATTTTTTCCATGGACACCTCATCGTCAGGGCTCGGAGGGCATGGCTTATCTTTCATGGTGAACGAGGCAAGTTTTCTACCAATGTCCCTATCCCATCGGGGTTTACAATCGATCGCGGGAAGCCGGCTGTTGTCAATCACTGATCCACCGTCAACGTCGATTCCCGCATAACTGTGTCTCCGACCATTAGGAATCTGAACATGCAGCGAGCCAGTTCCATAGGCATAGAAAGAGTGATCACCACGCAGTGCACCTGCATGTGGATCCCGCGCTCTCAATGGACTACCATCCCGACTCGCCGATCCCCTGACCCTGTCTCCGTTATCATGAAACCCTCCACTTCTCATACTACGAACCACTCGTCTCATTCCATTCCCAATCAAGCTGCCTGTGTGATGACCGCAACTCGGCGCTCGCAAAGAAGTGTCCGATCGAGAAACGTGAGGATTCTCGGTTGGTCCGCCCTGGGGGGGATTTCCATGCGTCCGATAAAAAACTGCACTGGTTCCACCGGGTTCGCTACCAATAATAGCATGGCGTCGCGATGGAGCGCAGAGAGTGGATGAACACTTTCTCTGCAATCTTTGGGATTCAGAATCCGACCGACGGAGTGAGTTGGGATCCGATGATTCGCTGTTGAAACCGCAGTAGCCGCCCCCATCCCGCACAGAATCGGAAGAGGCTGCATTGTTGGCCGCCGAGCACGCCGGGAGCGGGGACTTATCCTCGTCTCTCCACTGGGGATTGCTCCCCATCCAGCGCAGCTCCCCTTCATCATCACCCAAACGCGCACTTGGGCAACATCTAGTCGTTGCTGTAACTTCCCTTTCCTTTTCGACCAGGATCTTTGTATCCTTTGTCGAGATTACATTTGCGGTGCTGCTAGCTCTCCTACGCAGCCCCTTTCCCCATTCGACAGCTCTCTTGACTGCGCTTCTAGCCCGGTTCAGCACACCAGCACTAGAAACAGCCTTCTCCACATCTTCCACGGTAACCTCAATCTTATTGCCATCAGACATCCTCTCAGGATCAGTTTCGTCAACCCAGGCACAAGGATCAGCGATACCGTGGAGAACCCACGGGTGTCGCTTAACCTCCTTCAAAGTTATCCTTCTGGTTGGGTCTTTTGTGAGAAGCCGTTTGAGCAAGTCTTTGAGATCAACATCGATCGGCTCCGTCTCCATTTCGAGCAATTCCTCAGCTGTCGGCAGGGCACTAGCCGGTCTGGAAGGGTCGATGGCCTTAGCGGGGCGAACTCGACGGTTAGGAATCACGAGCTCGTCCTCCGCAATGACTCTCAGAAGTTGGAATTCATTGTCCGCCATGAACGGGCAGCGAGCAAAGACAAGGCAGTAAAGCGTGACACCGAGAGCCCAGACATCAATTGCACTAGTGATTTGAGGTCGTGGCTCGTTGTGATCTACGTGGGATAGAAATGTTAGGTATATATATAAACCAAAAGTAAGATGTGCGAGATATGTGGGACGATACGAAATAGGAGCGCATGGGAACATGTAATGCCGACTCACCAACATGACAAAGCTCGGGTGCAAAAAATGCCGGAGTGCCAGCGGTTTTGGCTAATTCCAACTCATTCTGCTCAAGCCCAGTAGCCTCCTCGCCATCGCAGCCATCCTCATAATCCCGAATCGGTCTCCCAAGAAAGCTGACTCCAAAATCAGATATCTTGACCCTGTGGTCCTGGGTCCATAGCAAGTTTGCAGGTTTGATATCACGATGAATGATGCCGTGGTAGTGCAAGTACTCCAAGCCGAGAACCGTATCACGGAAGGTGCAACGTGCCTGTTCAATCGTGAGAGAAGGAACATAGCTAATGCCTTCGCTCGAGAAGCTACTCGTAGAACTATCGGATGAGTAATCAAGAGTCTGAGAGGGCGGGAGCTGCTCGGTATCGGAGCCAAGGGGAGGCAGGTCAGCAGAGGTCGTGGGCGGGAGTCTTGGCAGTGGGGGATGGGGAGCACTCCGTTCGGGCTCGGAATCGGAAGCGGAGGCAAATTCCAATGACCAAAATTGACCATTCCTTCTTCCCCTACGAGGTCGACGTCTCCGCCTCCATGCGGCCTCGCCCTCGCCCTCGCCACCCTTGGTCACGGTTTTCCTCGCGGCAAAGTTGGCCTCAAATTCACGACGCAGACGACGACGTTCCCGCCGCAAAACATCAGGATCACCAGATTTCCTCCAAATAATCTCGCCCAGTTGGACATATTCCAGGATCAAATAAACCTTCTTGCTCTGAGGATCGTCGATAACCTCGAGCAGCCGGACCACGTTCTCGTGACAACATTTCTTGAGGATGGCGATCTCCCGACGGACCTTCTTCTCCGATTCGCCATCACCGCGGCGACCCAGCCTAGGGCGATCCTGTGACCTCTCTACAATCTTGATAGCCACCAGCTCGCCCGTGTCAAGGTCGGTCCCGAGCTTCACTTTACCATGAACGCCTCGTCCGATCTCGTCGATTATGGAATAGTGGTTTATGATCTTCCTCCCGGAAATCGGGTCAAAGTCAAGATCGAGTAAATGTGTTTCCCTAACCGAGGTGCAATGTTCCGGTTGGCGATACTGACTGGGGTGGAGATGGGGGCCCACAACGATCCTGTCGGAAGGCAGAACATGCGGAGGGCTATACAGACCAGGGGATGACATAGGGGTCGGTGGGGTGGGATTACGGCTATGAGGCTGGTGAAGGTTCACAAGGGAAAACATCGAAGCCGTCGATGCGTGTCTAGAGGTAGTGGTGGATGTATTATTCGACGAGTGTCCAGCAGAGTGATTGCTATGGTATTCCATTGCGCCGTGAGAGGAGGGGCTCTCCTCCCGCCAATCCCTCGACGCAGCAACTGCAGAGGTAGAAGGAGGGGGGTGTAATTGAGACTGTTGAAGAGGAAGGGGGGCAGTAGCAGTAGGAGGTGCTAACGATTGGGAGTGGGAGTGATTGTGGTTAGGTATATGTGAACGGGAGGAATGATTATTTCCGAAGGAGCGGTTTTGGCTGAGGGACCTCATGGTTTTGCACGCCGTCTCAATGGCATTCTGGTTCCCGGAGAGAGGTGATGTCGATGGGGGCGAAGGATGAGTTGAGACGAATCCAGGTGGTAGTAAGCGAGGAGCTGGAGGAGGAGGAGAAGGGGTTAGTTGATGGAAAAGTGAAAATAGGATGGGAATGGGTTGTACAAGTAGTTGTATGTAATGTATCGGTATTGTATGATCAGGGAATTTGAAAGGATAGGGTTTGTTTTTTTTTTGTTTTGTTTTTTCCTGGGGGAGCGGGCGTAGTTTTGAAAGGTACGACGGGAGGGGACGGAAAGAGCTGGCTGGCAGAGGCAAAGGGCGGACGGCTAAAGGAGCGACTTGGGGCAACCGGTGCTCTTGCTACGTTCTGGCTCCAGTCTCCTTCCGGGTCGGTTTGTTGAGGATGGAGGGGAGGGTAGCGGTGCTGTAACGAGATGTGGGCAGTTCAATTTGGGGTGTGCAGCAGGAAGAAGCAGCAGCAGCAGCAGTACCGCAGTTCGCTATTCCCTTCGGTACCTGTAGAGTGGAGGAGGAGGAGGAGGAGAAGGAGAGAAAAAGAAAGAAAGAAAAAAAGGGAGAAATAAGAGGCGGTGGACTGGGGAGGGGGGGGATTTGTTGTGGGTGAGACAAAGTCACGATGCTTTTCGAGCTGTACAGGTAGAAGCGAGAAGGGAGGGGATGGTGGGTTGAGTTGCCGGGACCGTGCCGAACTCGTTCCTTCTCGGCGGCAGCAGGCAAGTTGGAGAAAATGTCGGACGGTACGAGTACAGTACTCGTACAGTAAATTTACCGGTATTTGGTATTGCAGGAGGCGTTGCCCTCGACCTTTTTCTTTTCTTTTTCCTCTTCCTTTCTTTTCTTCTCTCTTCTTTTCTTTTTCCCTCTTTTCCTTCCTTTTTGCCCTTTATTTCCTTTTTGCTTCCACACCCCAAGACGCGTTGGTGTTGGGCTTGGGAATGCCGAACGCTGACAGAGCTAGCGAGGCAGCATAGAGCAAGGTGAGAAATGGATGGACGCCGCCGCCGCCGCCGCTGCTGCTGCTGCTGCTGCTGCTGCTTGCGAGCTTGCCTGCTTTCTGCTGTACTAGTACGAGTATGGTGGGTGGTGATGATGATGGATGGATGAGACCAGTCCTCGTCCCTCCCCTTGGGTTTTGCGCGTCTGTGTGTCTCCCTTCTCTATCACGGGCCAGGGTCGTCGATTCGAGCCCCACCCACTTTAAGCAATCCTTCTATTTGAAAGATAAATAATATAAAAAATATATAAAAAATGAAAAATGAAATAATAAAAAAGGGAAAAAGGAAATAAAGTGGAAAATATCTTTTCCTTAACTGCCCCGGCCCTATTGTTGCAGGCGAGCACAAAAGATCACCGTAAAGGTCGAGCGGAATGCACGATACTGTGCGGCACGATAGCTCCTGTTCTCGAGCGAAAAACTCGGCGTGTGAGTGGCGAAATCCCTCTCGGTAACGAGACGGGGGAGAGATGGTTCTACTGTGGTCAAAAACCTAAACAGGGAGGAAATGCCCGTACGAACTTTCTAGACCAGGTACCAAAGAAGCAGAGAAAGGGCCCTGCAGTGCAGCTGAGCCGGAGCCAAAATCCGGACGAAACCCTTTTGGCTCGAGGTATTGTAAACGACTCCGAGTGAGAGAAGATAAAGAACGGGCCAAGGAAAACAGAAGGAGACAAGTGAGAATGACGATGTGGTGAGGGGAGAAACGACAGATGGGGAGAGGGAGATAAGAAATGTATACCGGTATCCAATCCTGTACTAGTACGAGTACAAGTACTTGTGCTCGCACAGTACAGCTGGGTGCAACTTTTTTTCATATTTTTCATCCCCTATTCTTTCTTCATTCTTCATTTCCAGAGATAGATGGAAGGTGTGCGAGTGGTCCCCCCTCTCCCCCCACCAAAGTGTGTCTGTGTGTGTATCGTGTGTGTGTGTGTGTGGTGCGATTGCGATGTCTCTCCAGAAAAAGGGAGACAACTGTGCGAGGCAGCAAATACTCGAGTGTCCATTACCCGCGTCAAGGTTGGAAATTACACTCAAATCTACTGTACAGCGGAAGGATGACTATCGTGAGATTTTACCCCTCGGTGTTGAGTTGCCCAACCAAGCCCCCCTCTATCCCACTCTCCCATTCCATACTTCATTTTTTTGCGCTCAGCAGCTGCACAGTCTGGCAGTTGAAGGGGATGGGTTCATGGTCGGCCACACCTCGACATCCTTTTCTCTTGTACTCGTAACAGTGCACCACGGGCAGGTGAAGTGAACAACTCATCCTGATTTGACTGGCAAGCAAATGCACGGGTTATCCCAGCTATCCGCACCCTCTCTCACTTTCGCTCCCCTCCCAAACAGCACTTTGTCCAGAAATTGGACATCCACACACTGGGAAAACGCACGCGCCAATCAGTCAGGAGCTTTACGGAGCGACTGGCCGCCCCCCCAAAGACACCTGCGCGAAATAAGTCCGTTGGAAGCGAACTAATCCTTTACTGGCTAGTTCTTCCCCTCGATGATTGGTTGGGAAGATAATCGTGTAGATCGCGATGGGGGAGGGGGAGATGGTGGGGCTGCGAACCCACAAAAGCCAAAAAGCTCCTAAGCGGAGCAGACAAGCAGCCAAAAACGAAACTGTTTTCCCACGAGGACCAGAATTGTCCAAATCCCCCTTTTACGGTGCCACCCATCACACAAGTCCTTCTCTTTCCCTCGCCTGCCGCATAAAATACTCGTGGATACAATCAATCAATCAATCGATAACCCATAACCCATAACACTTCTCCGTCTCCCGTCATAAGCGAACCTCTGCGGACCTTCTTTTCAGATGAAGGTGGGACGACTCTTTTTTCTTCCTCTTCTCCTCACCCCACTACCGGCACCAACCCAGCCAGCCAGACACAGGGGATGGGCCCCGTCATAAGAACCTTTTTTTGTGTCGGTGTCGGTGGTAAAGATGGAGACTGATCGCAAGTGGGGACGACCTTTCTTCCCCTTTACCCCTTCCGGGGAAAGAAAGGGAGTCGGAGGGGTGGACCAGACTAAGGTCTGGCAGCAGGAGCAAGCCGCGAATTATTACTTTTTTTCACTCTTCCCTTAATCCAGTACGGTACGGTGCTACGATACGGTGCCATCCCATTTGTTTTTCCATAGCTGGACCCTCAGTCTGATCCCCTATGGTTGATTCCCTCTGGTCTGCAGGGAATCGAACCATTTCTCACTTTTGCTTTTTCTTCACGATAACCGTTGCGGCGAACAATGACGATGGCTTTACTCGGCAGTTCTTAGTTCTTAGTTTTGTGCTCGTGGAGTTAAATTCACTGACGGAAGCAGACAGGCGGACGGACTAGGATAAACTATGATATTATGATACTGTAAAGCCAATTTCTTTTTTTCTTTTCAACCCAGACGGAGCGGCGACGTGGTTTTCTTTCTTTTTTCTTCTACTTGTACGAGTACTTCCTCCTTCATTCTCGTATTGGATCGTCCATCCTTCCCCCGTTCGAATACAATCCCAACCCCGATTTCCTAACCGGACCCGCCGAGTTCTGCTCGAGTAATCTGCGTGACGGAAAAACAATCTTGGCAATGCGGGGTTGTCGCGCCCGACATCGCTCGGAAAACGGAAACGGACATTCTTTCGTCATAGATCCGAGCCGATAAATACAAGATCATACTCGTGTCTCCGCGCCAAGAATTGGCCCCCCCTTTTTTGCCAAATTCTTGGCTCAGAGGCACGTGCGGATAAAGTGCAAGAAATTTTGAAAACACCCCAAAATGGATTTTGATCAGAGAAGTCCAAGTTTTTAAGCCAGATTTAAACCGTTAGAGGCTTCTCGGCTAGGACCAGAGGCCGACTGAAGGAGGGAAAAAAGGAAAAAAGCTGTACCGTACGAGTACTGGTACTGTAGCTTGAGAGGCCTAGTGGATGGAGGGATCTCCAGGTTATCACTGGTTGCTTGGATGCCGGTTCAAGCACAAGATCTGTCCCAGCTCTTGCTGGCTTTGGAATGGAGGAGCGAGGGTTCCCTCGATGGGGCAGGACCAAACGGTATTTCCTGACTATGATATATGTATGTACCGTACGAGTACGAGCGCGATAAGTTAACTCTGCTCACGCGGCCGAGTTGAGGTCGCGTCCCCAGACACGGAAATGGATCGGCAGGCCAATCACGTAAGGGGATACCGGTACTCGGTACTCGAGTATACTGGTAGAATAAGTACGATACCGTATCGCACTGCATCTTTGCCCTCTCTCCTGTTGGCCGTTGGATGACTAAGGCCACTATAGCGGGCCACTTGGACCCGGGCGCTCGACCAGAGAGAAAGAGATAGTCTAGAACCCACCAAGAAAAAGCATCCAGTGTATTAACACGATATCAACCGAGATCCCCTCCCAAAAAGTCCACTCTCAGCATGATTCCTTTGGTCGTCCATCGATACTGGTCCGTAGCTCGACACGGAAGCCCGCCCTCTCTCCCTCCCCCCCCTCGTTCTTACTCGTACAACTACAATGACGCTGATATACACGGGGTTTTCGGTCATTCGTTCACTTCACTCTATTCTCATTCCGATTCATCCACTCCCCTCCACTCATAGAATGAGGGGAAAAGGGCGAAAAAGCTCGCACTTTGTTTGATGGATGCGGTAAATTGCCTCACGATCAACGTTTGAATTTTCACTCAGCCCTGTCAGTGGGTTGTGTGGATCAATTTCTTGTTCTTTCTCGCCCTTGGATTCGCATACCGGTATCACACTGTATTCGGCG